CAACATTATTATTAGGACCATGGGAAGGTTCAGTGGTTGTTAGACACTCATTCGCCCTACCAAAATCACCCAACATTTCAGACATGTCGGTTTGTAACCCACTCTCTTCATTATGAACATCGTCAGACTCAGTCGGTGGGTTTTCACCGTTACTACTAACACCATAAGAATCACCATGATGGACCCACGTTTTATATGTCTCGACCATACCATGCTTAAATATGTCTCCCCGCACCTGGACTAATGTCTTAAAGTAGAGATTATTGCAGTTCTTGCACGGACATCTAACCCTACCAATTGCATCAACATGCTTAGAAGCAACTTCCATGAACTCATTAACACCCAACTCATAATCAGCACACCAATGATCTTTGAGCATTATCCACTCACGACTCATTACGCGTTAAGGTATAACTGACCTTTGATTGCAGTCTGTAACTTGCCGCAGCAGGTTGTAATCGACCAAAGAGACAAATAACCTGCATGTAGCATTAAACTTTGAAATCAGTTCAAGGTAGCTCAAATCTAGTTAACAAATTATGCTTTTTTGAACTTAGAAAGGAGATAAACTGTACACCAGAGAGATAGTCATCTTAGTTAAACCCAAACAGCATGCTGCTTCAAATCATACGCGTTTCAGAATCAACCAGATCAAGGGAAGTCATCAGAATTACTAATTCAACATCTGGGTAGCTGAGGTTATCATCAGAAGGACTAATCTTTTCAATCATGTTTCAGTCATCTTAGTTAAACCCAAACAGCATGGCACATTGGCCTTTCAGAAACAAAAACCATCCCCATCAAAAAACACTTTTCACAAATGTCGCCTTCATCCAAATCCATTGCATCAAATTAACTCATCTCGCGTACCAGATACAAAAATTTCATAACAGCTATCTATGTAAGCCAATCCATACACTGGGCTTACACAAAATCGAAGGCCAGACTTACTCGGTTTATCGACGGAGGGAACTCGCGGCAGGGAAGGCAGGTCGTCGAAGCAAAGGAGGGCAACTTGGTTAATCGGAGACTGTTGATTCAGAGGGAAAGCCCTACCCCCTGTGCAAGAGCGCCTATGAACGACAGAGATAAAAGAAGAAACATGAGGAACCCAACTCTGCTTTTATCGGAATCAGGTATCCACCATGCAAATCAAAACCAAAATCGCAGAAGAAAAGGAGTCCAGGGCGATGAGACGAACGAGACTTACCGGACAATCGATTCGCGGGGAGGAGAACGTACCCAGACGAATCGCTGAAGAGGATGTGGGGAGAGGGGTTTCGACTTTGCAATTCGCAGTGGAGATGGAATTGGGGTTTCTGTTCTTGGAGCTGAAGGGTTAGAGAGGCGGGTTGGGGTTTTTTTTCGTCTTGGAGGGAAGGGGAATAATAGTCCCGCCCAATGGAATTCTGGACGAAAAATAGCAATTCTAAAAAAAAAAATATTAATGAAAAAGTTTATTTCATTCTGCACACCATATTATGACAAATTATATTATCATATCTTAGGATTTCTTGAACATAATGTGACAAACCATAAGGTGACGGGATGTTTTGTCATTCTGTAGCAGTATTTGCGCGGTAAATAAGACATATAATGACAAAATTATAATGACAACAAAAACTTTGTCACAATGTAACTCTATTATGACAACTTTGAATGACAAGTATAACTTTTGTCACATATAGTCAATTAAATGTGACAAGTTTTTTTTTTGTCATATTTAGTTGCCTAATATGACAAATATTTTATGACAACAAAATTAATTTGTCACTTAATGTCAAATTTCTTGTAGTGATAATACGTCTTTGAATCACCAGGAACCCTTTGCATCATATAATCATTAATCTGAGATACGGTTGCATTCCCCGGCACAACTATTGTCCTGTTTTTTAGTAATGCTGGGCGCATATAATTGGTATCAAATGATTCATATATATCATCTGCAATTGCTTCAATGTGATTTCCCTCAAGTTGTATAAGAAGCAACTCAGGTATTTGTATCCAAACAAAACAAAACATTCACCTCTCTGAACTATTGAGGTACAAACATCAGGGACTTCCATATGGACTGAACAGAATAACCAGCGGCCAGTCAATGGTCGAAGTGAGTACATCAGTGAATTTCCAAAAAACCAGAGTAGTTAGGGAAAAACAATAAGTTTTTTTTTATACAGAAAACAGAGCAACATGTCCTGAATAGATAACATACATAATTATAAATAAGCCGTCCCGACAAACTAAGTTCCAAGTAGAACAGTTTTCAATCACACGAAAGCTTTCGGGTTCCAGATTGAAGCAATTCGGATTGTAGGAGGATTTCCTGAAGTCCCGGGAGCAACATAAGCTTCAGCCATAAAAGGCACATAACACCTGTCTTGAATGCACTGATATCCTTCTTCATAGGTTAGACTGAAAAGTTCCTCAGGTGAAACCCAAACCAAGCCCAGCACAGCCTCATGATCAAACACAACATCAACATATTCTCCCTCACACTCACATGTTGCTTGTAATTCATATCGCACCCTGAATTAAACAATAAAAGGAACGTTTTGATTTTACTGAAATGCAATGGACAACAGATTATTAGCAAAACATAAAATTAAATCATACCTTGGAAAACCTGAACAGGATTAAAAGACTTCTGGACCGTATGCAAATCTTGTCATTTCCAACATACAACGATAGAGAGCCTGAAGGAAGGAATTTGTGTTATAATAGGTAAAAGATATGACTATATATTTGGGATATGTGTTATCCAATACAATCAAAACAACAAATATAATACATATACCTGGTAGGCCTGTGCATGGAACATTATATCATCCTTTAGCTGCCTTAGTGTTCTTTTGGGAGGAAGAAGACCACGGAGATAACCAATAGAGCAGCGAGAAGTGCTATTGATGTAAGTCACTGGCATTCGATCACCTATGAACCTAAAAAGCAAAAAGAATATTCATATTGTTTTTCTAGCATCCAACAGAGCAGGGCTGTCAATATATAAACATAGAATTCGAATATAATAATACCTATTTATGATTTTCTCATAATGGTGATTGTAAGAAGCAATGATCAGACGACTTCCAGGTGAAGATTGAAATACATATGCATCTCCAGTTCCATCTGTAATTGGCAACCTTGTAACAGCAGTAATTGTGGTAATGAGAGGAAGCCGAGCTTCAGATTCCCCTGCAAACTCCAAATACTTTGTAACCTCAGTTCCAGAGTAGTACACTGTCGCCTTGTCACCTCTACACAAATAGCAAAAGATCAGTTAATCCCACATAAAGTCTAACAAACAAAAGTCAGCACAAGAATACGCAAGAAACCTGCTGTTTTCTATGATGAGCTCAAACCTAAGAACACCTTTACTTGAAATTTCTGGAATTGTTAGATGAACAACACAACCCGTAACATCTGCAATTAAATTCATAGTCAGCAAATAATCATGAATACTTTTTGTGAAAACAACTTTCGAGGAAGATACCTCCATAATTCATAACTGCTTCTGCCTCTATTGGAACAGCTGAGAACGAAGTTTTCAGAAAAGCATTGACAGGAAACTTTGGATAACCCGGATTGTCAGGCACACAAAATATGATCTGTTCACGCCTTATGGCAAAGCGAACTTCGGCGGGAACAACACGCCTGTTTTCCCTTGCAGGAATAACATGAAAGCCATCCAGAACATGTAAATCTCCAACTTTAAACTTATGTTGCATTTCTTGAATGTCATCTTCCTCAATACAGGCCTCTAGCATATGTTCCTGTTAAATATGATCTAGTGCATTACTACAATAAAATCAAAATAAACAATAAATATTACATCATATAGACGAATGACAGACCTCTTTGTCAAGACACAGCACATGCATTGTTCTTTTATGCCCCTGAGAGTCATCACTATACTCAATCCATATATTAAGAACTCGGACGATCATAATATCAATATAAGCACCAACGCGTAGACCACGAAACACCTTGCATGTGGAAATTGGGTCTGTGGTAAACGAAAGACAATGAAAAACCCCAAAACTTCACACCTCGGCAGGGTTCATTCATAAACCAACAAACAGAAACTTGAAACAGAAAGCAACAGAGTCGATACCTCGTGGGAGACTTGGAAGTTTGAAATCACGCGGCATTATACAACGATGCCTGGTATGGAAAGACAATAGAAGATCAAAAATTTGTTAAAGTGTCAAGAAGCAGAAACAGAATGCAATAGGGAAAAGTATCGGCGATTATACCCCATGAATACACGACTATCTCTGATCTCGAAGGTGCGGAGTACTGTAGTTCCTGGGAAAAGAAGTTCAGAGAACAGGGGAAGTTAAAAAGGCAGAATCAGAACTGAAATGAAAAGGTGGTGGAAGTTGGTCCCTAAAACGTTTTCGCACCACCATTATAAAATCATAAATTGAATATTCAATGGACCTTTAATTGTTCCCCTAATGGACTGAACAATTATAGAATGGGCTTCCCAAAAGCTATAGAAACTTAATATAAGCATAAAGGCATCTCCTATTCGGGCTAAATATGAGAATACTGGGCCCAATTCATATATCTACTTATATATCGTAAAAGAGGGCCCGTTACTTATATTTATCTATCCGCGCCTGGGCTTGAAGCAAATTGAGAAAACACCAATGTTTCATTTGAGAACACTCTAATCATGTAACCGCAGTTTGTTACTGTCTATTCATTTTTAACATCGTCAATGGGCTAGGTAATACCACACAATCAAACTAAAGTTTGCTCTTGCTGTATATTTAAAAAAAGGGCTAATACCACTGGGAAACCCGAACTATTAACTTTGTGTCATTTGTGTCCTAAAGTATTCGATATGACAATTGTGTCCTAAACTATTTCTCCGTTAGAGTTGACCGGCATTGACAGTTAGTTTTTAACAGAAAATCCAATAAGCGCTGATGTGGCATCTGAAGTGGAATTTATAATATTAATTTATAATTATTTTTCATATAAAAAAAATTACAAAATTACAAAAATAAAAAATGAAAACCCATCTCGGCTTTGTCCGCCTCTTCCTTGCCGCTTTCGCTCTCCTCTCCTCCCCGCCGCCTCTCATCGAACGCCGCCATCTCCTCCAGCTCCCTCGCCGCCATTCCCCCTTCTCCTCGCCATTCGTAATCATCGCCATCTGGGATTTGAGAAAAAACAGATGTTGCGCCAAGATTGGATTCGTCGTCGCCAACATCTCCCAATCACAAGCCCCCTTCCCCTCCTCCAATCCGCCACCAGAAGCTTCGTGGTTTACGCCGATGGTGACGCGCGGCGACGATTTCGCTGAATCCGATTGATGGCTGGCCATTGGGTTCCTTGAAATCGAAAGTAGGTGTGTTGGGGGAGTGGTGTTGGCTAGTGATGCTGTCGGCAGGGTGGGTGGGATGAAGCGCGTCCCTCACCTGCTACCGATTCATCCCTTCCCCATTGTGGATCGATTCGATCAAACAAAGGAAAATGGAAATCGGAGATGAGATCGATCGATTTCTTTCAGCAGCTTCTCCCAAGCAATCCACGCACAATAGCCCAGATGAGTCGACGGAATCTGTGAAGGGGTCCACCTCGAGGAAGAAAGACGATGTCGTAGGTGACGGCGACGGCGACGGCGTAGAAGAAGGCGGAAGCAGCGGCGGGGATGGAGAGAAGGAAGGGAGAGGTAATCGGGGGACGGGAGGTGAATCTGCAGAGGGATGGTTAATTGAGTACATTATTATTATTATTTTTTGTTAACATTTTTTTAATTTTTATAACAATATATTATTTTATTAGTATTTATTATTTAATTTTTAATTAAAATATGAGGTGTCATTGACGTGGCATCTACGTGGCTGCCACGTCAACAAAAGTCAATGTTAATGTTGACTTCCGTTTGGTCAACCGTTATCTATAACGGTCAACGAAACTGTCAGGATACAAATGACACAAAACTACCAAACGTTGGGACACAATTGTCATATCAAATACTTTAGGACACAAATGGCACAAAGTTAATAGTTCGGGTTTCCCAGTGGTATTAGCCCTTAAAAAAACATGGGTTGTACTCGGTTCCTCATCTATGGCCATGTTCAACATAGGCTAAAAACCATCAACTGGTTGCTCCTCCTTTCTTGACTACACTCTAAAACCGTTGTAACCCATAATCGGCTAGAAACCTTGGCTATGGATCCATGAACAACACTGGGAAAACTCAACACGCAAGCTACTCAATAGTGCACCTCCCGTACTTGCAAAAGCTGAACATCAAACAAAAGATAGGTGACATGGGAGAGAGATGTCCACCAAGGCAATCGACGTTACATACGACATCATAAAAAAACATAAACAATACCATTACACCACGTACAATAACCATACATAGGTCTTTTTGTTCCTTCTCGCAAGAACTTAACTAATTTCCTTGTACAAAAGAGGTTCATTACATACACTAAAACTTCCTAGCCTTGACTGTTCCTTTGCCCACAAAATATAACCATCTCCCCTATTGTTCAAAGGACCCCATCCACAAACATAGAAGGATCAAAGTGAAATTTTCCATACATATATTCAAAATAGTAGCAATTGCAAAGGCAACACTTGTTCTGCCACCATGCAAAAATTCATGGGTCACCATTCAAATACATTACATAGGTCTTCTTGTTCCTTCTCGCCAGAACTTAACTATTTTCCTTGTACAAAAGAGGTTCATTAGATATACTAACACTTCCTAGCCTTGACTGTTCCTTTGCCCACAAAATGTAACCATCTCCCCTATCGTTCAAAGGACCCCATCTGCAAACATAGAAGGATCAAAGTGAAATTCTCCATACATATATATTAAAAACAGTAGCAATTGCAAAGGCAACACTTGTTCTGCCACCATGCAATAATTCATGGGTCACCACTCAAATACATTACAGGGAAGAAGGCCAACAAATAGTAAGAGTGGATTCTAATCTTAATCAAGATGCAATAACTCGTGGATTCGAAACCCACCCAAAAAATTAGCAAAAATTATTTCCTCTCAAGGAATTTGAAAGCATGAAGAACCGGTTAACAGATGGAATTCGTCGAGCGACGAACAGGGCAACATAACCCTAGGAAAAATGGTAAATTTGATAAGCATCATAAGGCAAATACCTGACACGACATGCAGTCACCCCGAGACCACACTTAACAATTAACAAACAATAATTTCCTACCATTTTATGGAGAAGAGATGAAAGCCTTCAAACCTTCTTTGATCAGTATTACAGGCACCTCGAGACTACACTTTCCTACACCATTCTCAACGACATGGTTCGCAAATCTGGTTTCCCTTTGTCATGGGCTTCGTCTTCCCGGGTCGTGGGTACTATCCAACCCCGATCAACAAAGGAATAGGTGCAGCAGATCTGGCTATTCTAGGCCTTCTCCGCGTTCTCTCCACGTCAGACATGGATTCTCGGCCATTCCTAGGTGGCCGATTGCAACGACCGCTTGCAAGATCTCACTCCCTTTTTGCTCCAACCAGTCTTTTGAAGGTGAGAAGAAAAAGAAAGAAACCAATTAATGATGAGATAAATAATTTCTCTCTCAGCAAGAGAAAGTGCATTAAGATTTAAAGTGATGAAAGAGTAACATAAATCTCAAACAGGAAAACCCAGAAAACATACTCTGGGGATCTGAGTATCTTCCAATTCCTCTCCGACCCTCTCAAATTTGCCAGTTGATTGCTCCAAGCTCTGCTGGTTTCGAAAATGAGAAGAGAGCCAAAAGTAGAGAGAAAACAAAAAATGATCAATATATATAAACCATTACGACAGAAACAAAATTTTGAGAGACAGAGGAACAATCACATGAAATCAGTATAGAACCTGTGGTTCTGGGTGTTCTTCGAATCCTCCCTCCCTCTTCCAAATAGCTCCAAATCCACTCCAGGACACTCAAATCCCAACAGTCAAATCACAAACGAAATCAGGGAACTCCGATCGATCCACTAAAACAAACGAAATACATAGCATCCATAGAAAGACTCACCACAGGAGATTCACAGCTGACGGATGAATCAGCTCCGATGCAAAGCTCGGATCCTTCTGTTCCTGAGAGAGGCGATGAACAAACCTGAAAAAAGAGGATCAAAGAAACCCCATTTTTCTAGATAGAAAGAGAGAGAATGAACCCAGTCAAGAAAAGGAAGAGAAAACGAAAGCAAAGAAAGAGGAAGATATATATTTCAAGAGAAGAGTGTTCCTCTGACCTCGATGAGAGAGAATATAGCACCACGGGTAGATTAGGTTAACCACACATATTTTTTCTGCCAACCGTCAACCTCATTTGTTCTGCCTCCCTGACCAAGCTCCTATCCCCTGATATTTTTTTTTCTTTCTCTGCTTCCTGATTAGTCCCCTCAATTACCTTTCCAGTTTCAGAAAGTACGCCCAGTCTACATCAGCAAGACATACCTCTCTTCTCCCATACCTCCCTCCTCTCTCAGCCTCCGAAACCGGCACGACTCCCACCTCTCAAGCGGGCCACACCTCAAATACTCTGACCTTGCCCTAAGCCACTTGCAGAGCCACTACAATAAACCCTTCCAGTCCCCCTATGGCCCACCATCTCTGAGTCTCCCACCCACGGATACGTCGATCGCCTGCAGAGGTCCCGACACAGCTGCCGAGGAAAATAGACCGGCCGCCTTAAATCAATCCAATCAAGCAACTGGGCAGGCTCCAGCCACTGAGAGGGCCCTGGTGACCAACGCGTCCGTGCACCACAACCGATCTAGCAGACCAAAACAGCCCAACGACCAAGTTTCATCCCAACCGACCCGCCAAACACCCGTCCGATCCCAAAGAGCCCCCACCCAACGCCAGCCCACACAGCGCCAGCTTCCGGGTTATAACAGTACATCCCGGTCAGCATGAGCAGTAAAAGCAGTCTGCGTGTGCAGTTGCAGGTCCTGCGGTGGGATTTATTTCTTTCAATGTAAAAGTGAATCCGTCGGGGCAGTTTGAATTGAATGTGCGAGTCGAATCTAAATTGGCATCCCTAAATTTATTTTTTCGATGTACTTAGGCTAATGAAAGAGAGAGAGGATAGCGATATGGATTAGGGGGAAGCGGGTGAACATCTTGGGTGGAGTCGTCAACTCATACGTACCGTATGGATAGATCACGATCTTATGAATCGAGAGTTAGTTTGCAACTTTATTTCATTCCTGGTATGTATGAGTAGTCGTACCCAACTCAAAATGAAGTACCAAATTTGATTATTTGACCCTCTGCCCTAAAACAATTAGCCTTGGAGACAATAATTGCCTTGCCCCTTCCGTATTTATGAAATCCTTCTTCCTTGCGGATTACGGATAAGTTAATGTCTATGTCAGTATATATAAACCGTACCACCCAAACTAATAGTATCAATTTTACAACCTTATTATTTTCTCCTCTTCTTCCGTGCGTGCGGCAATGGGTCTACTCAGCGGCTTGATTTCCGCCGCCCGTACCACACTCCGGCGAGTTCCCCCGGCGACGGAGAGTGCGAATGTCGCAATGGCTCGATGGGCCGCAGACGGCAACATCAGAGTTGTGCATCACGCCGACCATATACCCTGTCCCAAGCTGCGTCTCTTGCGGCCGTCGTCTGCGGCGGCTGGCGGAGTGGATGTCGAAATTCAGTCGGTCAACGGACAGATTGCACAGAGGTCGAAGTTGTGCATGGAGATCGTGACGAATGCCGGCGCTGACAACAACCATAGGAGCATTATCTGGAAATTAATGGGGGCAAAAACCGCCGCTGCCACGACTACGGCGGCGGGCACGAGAGGCCCTAGTCGGTCATCGGACGGACGGAATATTCGTACCGCCGTAAAGAAATGGCTCGATAAGAAATTCGTGGATATGTCCCGGAGAATGGTGAGAGCTAACCAAGAACAATGTAAGTTTTCTAAGTTGGCTAAAAAAATTTCGTTTTATGATAGCTAGAACAAAACCCTAACGGGCTTGTTTGGTAGTAATGTGGGGATGAGAACAATTACACCCTTGATTCGAACGATCATTGGAGCTCCCAACTAGCAAAAAAGAATTAATTAGTCACATTTTTATTTATTTTTGCTCACGTTTTGCATTGATTTGAATATGATCTCGAACGAGATCGAAACATTCACATTTATTTTTCCTCCAGATGGAAGGCTTCTGTCGGATCATATTGCCTCGTACGCAGAGTGGTCGAGCAAGGAGCATCATCGAATTCTCACATATGCACTCGATCCTAAGCTCTCACTGTAAGTTCAACGGCATCTCGTCAATTTAATTATCCTTTTTTAGCAAGGAGTAGATGGATATAAACTATCGTTGGATTGTTCGAAATCTGTGTACGTAGACACCAGATATACTCCAAGAGTACACAAGTCGGGTTAACTAATAGTATTTTTTATTTCTTTCTTCTTTTTGCATCTACAGTGAAGAGTATTTGTTTCAAAATGCTGAGAGAACGACATTGAGACGTAGAGATTTCATACAACTCGTTGGAAGACTGGGGGTGCTGAATACTATGACTGACCCCTACATTGACAACATCAACAAGAGGTCCCTCGAAGCTAATGGTGGTCACTTCAAAAAGTTCATCTTTCGTTCCACTTTTGCGGTAACTCTACTTTAACAAGATGCATACTTATTCGTATGATAAAATCGTCAAATCGAGCGAGCTCTATTGAGCTCACTGTAGATTTAGTCATGTTCACATCAAACAGTGCCTAGGATATGCCCGCGCAAAATCTATTGTGTTGTGTGATGATTTCACTTCCGCACTATTTCATTTTCTTCAAACTACACTTTTTTGGTTTTGGAGAATTTGGCTAATTTGGTTTTTTGAATTTTCATACTTAATGATTTGGTTAACGAAAAATAACATCGCCCCTACACTACTCATGCATGCAGGCTGTCGAGATCGGCATCGACCCTACTCGTCAGAAAGACGACGATTCCTCGATGACTAATCGAGTAAAGAAACATTTGTCAGGAATCGACTATCTACCCGAGGGAAAGATCGACGCCAACAAATGTCAACTTGTACGTATGTTTATAACTCTGTAAAGATTTACATATTACACGTTTTTTTACATCGAATTAAATGGGATTTCATTGATTTAACATTCATTGTCTTGGGGAATTTTTTTATTTGTAGTGGTGCATCCCTGTGTCGTATCAAGGACACGCCAGGGCAATCGTCATAAACATCAAGGATGCCTGCTTCGAATACCTGGACAGTTGCCGCGGCAGCAAGGAGGAACCATTCTCGAATGTTGAAACCGTGTGCAGAAGAATCTTGAACCCGGTGAAGTCATACATCAATTCGACGCGATCGCAGGACGACGACGAGGCGATCGACTTCGCGAAGTTCGAGTGGAAGTTCCCGCCGCTCCCTGGTCAGCCGTTCGGATCCAACGCTTGTGCGATCTACAGGTTGCGGTTCCTGGAGGAGTGGAACGGCAGCGGATTGATGGATCTGGGAAAGTTTGAAGGCTGGGAAGACAAGTCCTGGCATGTGAAGGAGAGGATCAAGCTGTGTGCGTCCGTTCTGAATCAGGATTCCAATGTCATTCTTCACGAGGTCGCACGGAGGGCGCAAGAATGGGAAACCAATGGGAAAGGGAAGGGAGAAGGGGAAGGGTTACGGGGCTAATTGTATAAGAGTTAGCACGGTCCTAACCAAGAATCAATGGAGGGCTTTAATTGGTATTTAGTAAAATTAAATTTAATAAATAAATTAAATTTTAATTATCTCTCTCCTCATTCACAAAGAACTTTAACGTGAAAAAATACTAGAGAAAAAACTACGACTAGTATGAATTAGTAGTGATTTAGCTTGGATGTTGTATTGATTTTATAATAATCCGTAGTGATTTCGTGGTTTTTAATAGCGTTTTTTAAATAGAAGAAGTTGATGATATTTGGAAAGAATAATATTGTAAATGAAAAAAATACTACAAAGAACAAATATTACTACTAATATACAAAACACTACTAATACTTTACAAATATCGCTGCTCAACTATTGTCTGTTGATTACAATAAGAATAACTACTAATACATATGAAAAACAATACACCACCATCACTACTAACCCAAAATCACTACTAATCAACTAATAATATAGATCTGGAAAAAATTCTTGCTCTTCCTCCACGCATGCTATCCACGAGCGATTGACGACAATCGTGGTGGGAAGCCAACGCAGGCAAGGTAGGCGCCGTTGCGGGCAGAACAGGAGCAAGAGACGCTGACGACTCGGCGCCGTTGCCGGCGGAATTGACTTCGTTGCGGCGACGATTGATGGATCTTGGGCTCTCTACGGAATCGCACCACATCTCCAGCCCATCGTCTTCGTTTACGCTGGCGGCGAGGGACGCTGACGACATCGACGACGCCGCAGTAGCAAGGGATGGATCTCGATGAAACTCTCCCTCCGTTTTGCTGCGCTGTCCCGAACCGGTAGATAGCAGCAGCGACCTCGACCTCCATTCTAGATCTACAGTCTTGGTTGTAGCAGGGAGCGGTTTGCGATAGAGAGAGAGGGGAGGCAGTGAGTCATTTTCTTGTAGACGGAATTGTGAGAGAGAGGGCGAGAGAAGTAATCTCCATTTAATTCTTACTCTTAGATTGATATTTTAATCCAACAATTAGAGAAGTGGTTAATACCGTGCTAACCCTTTAATCAATTAGCATCTAATCTCATCCCAAGAAGAAGATGTGAAGGTGGAAGGTGGTTGACTTTCTTTCTGTGTGTATCGGTCACTTTTTGCTCGTATGTATAACTGGTGGTAGATGGTGGTAAATGATTAATATGATATTATTTTTTTATAAGTGGGTATATAATATTGAAATAACCAGAGAAAGTGAAAAACCGAGGGTTGTGTTAAAGCTGGATATCGAGAAAGCTTTCGACACAGTAAGTTGGGGGTGCCTCTTCCGTATTGTAGCCTCCATAGTTTTCAATCCAAAAGTACAAAGATGGGTGAAAGGGATAATAACCTCTTCGACTATGCTATCAATGTTAGTCAATGAAAAATCGACTTGTTTCTTCAAAACAGGAAAAGAATTGAAGCAGGGCGATCCATTATCGCCTTTTCTATTTGATTTTATTACGGATGTGCTATCACTTATACTTCAAGAAGTCAATGTTGCAGGATACATCAAAGGTTTCTGTATGAACAAAATGGAGGGAAGAGGGGAAGTTACACACTTGCTCTGTGTGGATGATGCAATAGTTTTTTGTGATGCTACGAAGGATGAGGTAAGGAGCGTACTGGCTACCCTTGTGTGCCTTCAAACTGATACGGGTCTGAAGGTTAATGTGGAGAAAAGCAAATTATTTCCGGTTGGCGAAGTGAGCAACTTGCAGAGTTTGGCTTAAATCTTTGGCTATGAATGGGAATATCTCCCCACGACTTACCTCGGACTCCCACTCGGCACCTCGCCAATGGCCGCTGGTGTTTGGAATCTAATTTTCACACGATTGTCGTCTAAAATGGAAGGTTGGAAATTAAAGGAAGGTTGTTATCGCTTGGGGGAAGGATCATGCTAAGTAACGACTGTCTTGCTAGTCTGCCAATGTTTAGATGTTCTTTGTTTGCTGCACCAAAGGACGTGATTCACAAAATTGAAGGTATCTAGAGGTCGTTCATTTGGGAAGGACACAAAGAACAATGCAGGATGCATCTAGTGGTCTGGCAAAAATGTAAGTTGCCAAAGAAATGGGGTGGTCTCGGAATAAAGGATATGGAATTACAAAATAAAGCCTTACTTTGCAAATAGCATTCGAAATTTGCTCAAGAGGAGGGCGTGTGGTGGAAGGATCTTTTAGAGATTAAGTTCCCAAAAGTAACAACAAAATGGTACAGTTCTGATAATGGTGGAAGTGTGGTGATAGGCCATTGATTACATATATTTTTACCCCTATTCTTGAGCCGTTTGAGATGTCGATTCCCGCGTTTTAGGCCGATTTCACGCTAGGTTGTTCTTGTTTGTGATATTTCAGGTCCTAGTACATGAATGAAGGCTTGGAAACGAGTTCGGGACCGATTGGACGAGAATTGGACATTTCGCGGGAAGCTGATGGAGCCACACGGGCACTCCTAACACCCACACGGCCGTGTAGGAGACCCATTGTGGCCGTGTGAAAGCTCGGCAAATCCCACACGGGCAGCCTAGACACTCACACGGCCGTGTGGGCCCTGGCCGTGTAGGAAACCTGAAGCCACGTATCGAAACTCCACGTTTTGAAACTCACACGGGCAGCCTGGGAGAGTCACACGGCCGTGTGGCCTGGCCGTGTGAGTCGGGAAATTCTGGGTTTTAACCCAAATTCGAGCCAAAGGAGTGGGGGAGCTGGGTTTTCGATCCCAAACACCCTAGGGACGAACCAAAGAGAGAGAGGGCAATTTGAGGGCATTCTTGGAGTGGAATTGGAGGATTTCTTCGCATTGGAAGCTCGAGGAACAAGCCCGGACTTGAAGACTGATCATCTGAAGATTCTTACTGCAGTCTCTCTCTTCTCTATGGAGGAACTTCCCTTCACTTAGGTTTTGAGGAACCCTAGCTATGTTTGTTTGATTGGATGATTGTATGAGTACTCCTACTTGATAATCTTGAGTTCATATTCAATCTATGCATGTTTTCATGATTCAATTCCGATTTAGTCGAGATTATTGATTCTGCTTTGATCCTATGAGAGCGAATACCTGATTAGGTCAATAGAGCACCATAGATTGATAGTATTTGATCGATTGCTTTAGTCGAGGGTTGATTCAATGCTTTGTATCGATTGAGAACCTCATTCGATAGAGGGAATCTAGTTCAGAACACCTTGATCGGTTGTTCTAGAGAAGGATACGTCACTCTAGGCAATTGACTCAAGAGGGCCTAGTTCCTTTAGTCGAGACTCAAGGTCTAGTTAAGGATTCTCCGCATTGTGAATGAAAGTGAAACAGGTTAGAGATCATCAATCATTAATCTGACTAGTGGCTAGGGGGAATCATACCTAAGTGAGTTCCCAGCTTGTAATTAGATTAACTTTAGCTGTAGTTTGCTAGAGTAGTTTTAGTTCTTTCATCCTAATCTGGTTTGCTAGATAATGAACTGAAGCTGAGTAATAGTAACTCTAGAGACCCGTGGATTCGATATTTATTACTTGAGCCACTATACTGCAGTCCCTTTCATTGGTTACACTTGGCCATTGTTTTTTTTTATAATGGTGAAATTTTATTAAGCAAAGGAAATAAACTGTACACAAGGAAAACCGGATCAAGAGAAATGATCCTGGGGAGAAAGGAAAAAAACTAAAACAAAGAAAGAAGAAACTACATCCAGGCCGTAAAGAGAAAAGACGCACAGACACAGTGACAAAGAACCCAGGCCGGACCCGATTCCTAGACAAACTCAAACGCCCCAACAGGGGCGGACATCCACACAAACGACACAACTCAACCCCCCGATCTTTGGAGACTACCTTCTAACAAAACTGCCTGAGGACGAAAACTCATCACTCCCACCACGTCCCATAACGCCACCAGCCTAGACCTCGCACAGCAAACAAACCCCGACTCTCGACCGCAACGATCCGTGCCCTCCCCTGAAACAGCAAACGGGAAACGCGGGAAATCGACAACAAAAGAATCCTCCCAGCTCTATTATTAAACTAATCCCTTTTCCACCAGCCATCTCCTCCCCTCTGCTTTCTGCGCCTTTCCATGTACCACAATCCATTCGATTGCCTTCCTCGCTGCCCTTTTTCCCACCACCGACAAGCAGGTTTCTTTATCTTCGAATGTCCTCTGATTCCTCTCGAGCCACACAGCCCACCAAATGGAGTGAAGAACACAACCATCGAACCACTTCTCAATTCCGTCTCCGTCTGCAGTAACCCAATTTGCTAAAACTTGGGCGATCTCCCCATTCCAGCTCGGTGTCCTACTCCTCCTGCCATACATCAAAATCCAGATTCCCCTAACGAAATCGCAATCCACAAGCATGTGCTGAACAGTCTCCTCATCCTTCTTACATAAAACACATATGTTAGCCAAGGACAGGCCTCTTCTCTTTAGGTTGTCGAGTGTTAGCACTCTATTATGGTAAACGAGCCAAGTGAAGAAGCAGATTTTACTCGGAATCCACGAGATCCACACAATTTTCGCAGGGAACTCTTCGATCTCTCTTGAGTGACTGCCGACCAGCTCCATATAAAGAGATTTCACCGAGAACTTAGAGTTTGCCTCTTGTTTCCAGAGTACCCTGCATGGACTATGAGGAGAAAGTGCCAAATTCACAGAGTTTAACAT